TCCAGTAGCAATAAAACGTATTTAGTCAGTCACCTAAATGGATACAGGCCATAGGTGATGGTTAACGTGTGCCTCAAGACCCTAAGCCAGTGTTGAACGGCAAAGACACTGGGTACCTGCTTTACTTACTATCTTGTACAAACTTGGCTTTGTCCATGAACTTGCCCTTTTGAACACTTAGCCAAAAGACTAACGGTGTTTCCCCACTCCCCTTACAGGAACCAGCAGTGCAATGAGGTCATTTTGGAAGAGTGACCCCTAGTAGGTGTGAATTGCGTGCCTCCCGGCGGATTCTCACAGCAGCTTCTAAACTTTGAGTTGGTTTTTGCGCATGGATTTCTGGGACTGTGAGCTGCGCAGGAGGAACAAACCCGTCCTGCTCTCACAGAACCCCCGGTGGATCAGAACAGCCCAAGGAAGCTGCCTTTGGGCTAACAATGCAACTCCTTACAGACTAAAGCATCAGAGCACCTTTCATAAAGGGGGGTGTGCACCCATTATATACAGAGAATAACATATGTTTATGTATGCTTATGAGTGAAGGATGAAATAAAGCAATGAGAACACAATTTAAATATACATGTTCAAAGATTGAAAGTAGAGATGGTAACCTTTTTCTTTTTATAAATTGCCTTTGCAAACCCATGTTTATCGTGGCTTTGTTCACAATAGCAAGGAGTTGGAAACAACCTAAGTGCCCATCAACAAATGGATAGAGAAGCTGTGGTATATTCACACAATGGAATACTATGCAGCATTGAAAAACAAGGAACTCATGCAATATTATTCAAAATGGGTGACTCTGGAGGACATTACGTTGAGTGTATTTCAGTCAAAAAAAGGACAAATACTGCATGGGCCACTGTTGTAAAACAGAACTGACATCGGGGTTGTTGGAGGGAGACTGAGAAAGGTGGGATAAATAATGTATACTGCATTGAAACAGATGAGGGAGAAAATGGTTTAAAAGGGATATGTGATTAGGTCTTTTCGTCATGATGGGAGTCCAGAATGAAGGCTGCATAGTGGAGTAGACCTGGGGGAGGATTTATAAAACAATGAAAGAATTTTTCTTTTACTTTTCCAAGAGGGTAGTGTACTGGGGGGAGGGTTGGAGGGGGCAAAAGTGCAACAATTAAGAATGGAAATCCAAAATCTCTGTAAATCACTGAAATTAGTAAAACTTTAAAAAATTGCCTTTAGCACAATTTACAAGTCACTGTTGAGCAGACACTGACCCACAGCTGACCCTCCAGGAGGTTCTCAGCAGCCCTAAATCGCACAGGAGAATGCCTATCTTTCCCTGTAGCTGGTGGATTCCAACCTTGTGTTGTTAGCACCGCTCCCTGCCATGAGCCACCAGCGCTCCCTAAATTATGGTCAATACAACCAAAGACAGAAGGAAAGAACGATCGGCCAAATTATGAAGTAAACTGATGGGACAAAAACAAAACTCACAGCACAGGTTTGGGGGGGGTTAGATGTTTATTAAATCAAGCTTTTAAATTATGGATCCACGTTCAGTCTGTAAACAAATACAGTTCACACGTAAGTAAAGGGCTGGTAGATTAGAACTAGTGGAGAAGCTGAAGTTTCCTTTGCACTCTGGCACCTCCTTGGGACACGAGCTATAGACGAGCTATAACTGAGTCGAGAGTTTATTCTGACTCCACCCCCCAGGATGGCCTTAAGGAACCGAATTTCTTCCACGTTACAACGGGCTGGATTACAGCAAGGCAACAGAGTTGATTTTTACATTCACAGATTGGCTGGAAGAGTAGAAACATTAGAAGCTTAATGTTTTCTCCTTATCACCAGGGACAGTAAGAAACGTGAATGAAAACAAATGACAGACTACAGGTGGTTATAAAAATAGATAACTTGTAGAGTAATAAATATCTACAGTTAGCAGAGCAAACGTAAAAAATTGGCATTTTTTTCCATAATGTGCATAAGTGTGTCTGAGAGGAACTATCGACAGACCTCAGTGGTAAGATAGTATTGGTAAAGAAAAAAACACTAAAAGTAAAAAATGCAGGAGGTCGGATGCAGACTAAAGTACACAAAACACACAAACTAGTAACTCTTCACTCCCAAGCCCTTAATAGACACCACAATTAGCTCATGTCCAGGCAGACCCTGGGCTAAGAACATCCCATAACCTTCAATCCAGGACCTGTCCCCACAAACAAAAAAATCTCCACAAGTTATTAAAAATCTGAGGTACATGCAATAGTCCATAAAGTAACAAACGGGAGCTACTCTGTGACACACATTAAAACATCATTATGATCACTGTTTATTATACCAATGACAGTTTATCTTCAAGTGTTTTGTTCTTATTTTTGCACATGGATGCCCAGATTCTAAGACCAACATTTGACAGATGTTGCATACAAATTCTAATAAACTGAGTTACATCCAAATTCAATTAAAAAGCAAACTCACAAGTTGGAGTTGGTTCCTAAGCTGGGGACTCCCTGGATCTTAAAAAGTAAATCTTTTGTTACCTGTGTACAAACTTTAAAAAAGATTGCCTGCTAGACAAGCAAAAATGGATTAAAATGGCTGAAACTTGGTAACATTTTGTGCGCTTTCATATACTTCTATATGTGGGATTTAAAATTCTCTAAAATGTTTTTTTTTTATTTCTACTTCTTAAATTCCCACCCTCTTTTGCCTCCGCCTCCCCCCCAAAAAAAAATCCCAAAACTATTCCACAATCATTTCGTGTACAGAACAACAACAAACACGCCACCACCTCAAGCCAATCTCACAAGGTGACTAAACACCTCTAGGTAGCTATGTGACATTTACATTCTTTTAACACTTCATCAAGTGCTCTGTGACAGAGCTATCTGTGCGATGCCAGCGGGAAGGGGGGCAGGTGGGGTCACTCCATCCTAACTCGGGATTAAAAGCACTTGTGTGAGGGTCAGTGGGGTGGATATCTGCTGGGCTGGACCTGATGGCACTTTAAAGCTTCAGTGAAGACTCACGCTCTGCATACGTCTAACATGAAGACGATTCCCTGCATGGTGAGAGGGCACATGTGAGCTGTCCATGTGTCACCCCTCAGCCTTGACCAAAATCTCACTGCCACTGAGTCATTACTTACTTATAGTGACCCTACTGGTCATAGCAGAACTGGCCCACAGTTTCCAAAGCTGACGGTGTTTATGAGAGCAGACGGCCTCATTTTGGAGAGTGTAGGTTTGAACCGCCAACCTTTTGCTTAGCGGCCAGGCACTCTAGCCACAGGCACCACCAGGATTCCTCCAGCCTGGACCAGTGTTCCCAAACTGTGGTCCTGGGAATGTTTCCTTGTCCATAAATTCACCCTTCTCATTGTGTTTGGGGCTTGTTGGGTTAAACAGATCCCACTAACACATAAATATACATTCTACACCTTCAAGAGGGGTACGGAGACACATATTTTCTCAAACCCACTCACCCATCCAAGGAACACCCCCGGCTCCCTGGACACCCAGCTTTTATGGATCAGAGTCTGAGAAATGCCATTCTGGAGGAAGTAGTAGTTCTCAAATTGGAGAGTGAGTCAGAAACTCGTAGAGGTCTCCCAAAGCTGAGGAGGGCACAGCGTCCTTCCATGCTGGTGTGGCACCTGGGGACCTGCATTTCTAAAAGCCCCCAAGGAAAACCGCTGCTGCTGATGTGGGGGCCATGCCTGCCTCAAACACCAGCACCAATGGAGCTGCAGGATGCTCTCCTGGGCCCCGCAAAGGCTGCGTGTGGAATTTGTCACAATGATTCAGTGACAGGGGTGGGGTGTTGTGTCACATCAGTCCAGTGATGTCTTTGATGTTCTGGGGTCCTAGTGGGGTGGGCGTGCACTGGACCTCTTTGCTCAGCCCCTGTCTGCCACATGACCATTGTGATTCTCTGATACAAGAGGAACAACAGGCGAGCTCTGGTGGCCTAGTGGCAGGGAGCTGCACTGCAGTCCCAGAGGTGCATGGTTCAAATCCACCAGATGCTCTGCTGAAGGAGGAACTATCGCCTCCTGTACCAGTCAGATCCGATTTGATGGTACACACATAACAATAATAAAAAATTTTTAAAAAAAGAGGAACAGTGTCCCCTCGCTGGGGATTGTGAGGCTTTCAAGACACGTCTGCACCAATTCCCTGTTAGAGACACACCAGCCAGGTGGCAGCTGTTCCCAGGACATGTCGGCTGCAGAGGGCGAGGCCCCAGGAGCCGTCCGTCTCCAGCCACTGCGGAGTTGGGATCAGAGCACACTGATATCTAACAGAAAGGAGGCTAAACATGCAGAAAATGACTACTCGGGTGGGGGAGCTAATAAAAACATCTGGGGGTTTTGGTTTTGGTGTGTTTTTTTTTAAAAAAAAATCAACTCACAATCAAGTCGCTGATGCTGGCTTTGAGCCAGTGATTAAAAGTTTGGGGAGCTCTGGTGGCCTAGTGGCAAGAAGCTACAACTACAATCCCAGAGGTGCGTGGTTCGAATCCACCAGATGCTCTGCCGGGGAAGGAGGGGCAATCTCCTCCTGTACCAGTCAGATCTGATTTGACGGTACACGCACACAAAAAATAAAAAAAAAATTAAAAAAAAAAGTTACAGTACGCTGATCTTTGAACGCACTCTTCCTCTGCTCCACTGAGTTAATGCTGGTTACATGCTAACATGGGAAGAACGAGAAGAAAACAAAGTCCCCCCACTCTAACACAAGCGCATTAGATCTAAAACAATTCAGTTGGGATACTTTCAACCTTCCAGGGCTACCAGAGTGTGAAGTTTTCAAGAGTGACTTTTTTTAAAAAGGAGCTTTAATTTGGTTCCTAGGAGCGCCTGCGGCGTGAGACATGAGCACGTCTGTGCGTGTTTTGCGGCTGGGCAGTCTGCCTGAGCCTCTCACCACTCAGAGAGCAGCCCGTGGAAATTCATCCTGCCGGGTCCTGCTTCCATTGGAATCTGACTAGGTAGGCAGAACCTGCCCAAGTGAGCCCGGGTCACTTCATATGTGCTCCGGATGGCACTGCAGACAGGACAGCATATCCTGGACGGGTTTCCCTTCGTAGCAGATCTGATAGACTGCAGTAAACAACGGAAACCTGGTGATGGAGAGATGAGAAGAGGGGAAGCTCAGTGTGTGCACAACAAAAATTTAAAACAGAAATTAAAAAAAATGTATTCCCACTGAATTAGAACCGACTCATAGCAGCCCTGCGCTGGCTCTCCGAGGTTCTTTTATTCTGCAAAACCTGCCTGCCCTCTGCTTTACGAGCTGGGCCCAAGCTCAGCCGTCCTCTGCCCGCCTGCCCGCCCTGAGGTTGGAGTAAGCTCAGCCTGTGGTCTACAAGGGGGTGGCACAGTCCTGCCAAATGTGGAATGAGTCTCCATCCATCCTCCATCCATCCTCCATCCATCCTCCATCCATCCTCCATCCATCCTCCATCCATCCATCCATGCACCCAACCATTCATCTGCCCACCCATCCAACTATTCATCCACCCACCTACCTACCCATCCACCCACCTACCTACCCATCCACCCACCTACCTACCCATCCACCCACCTACCTACCCATCCACCCACCTAC